AATCCCGTGCTGCCGTGCACAGTCCTACACAGTAGTGGGTTGTGGCTGCACATTCTGAACAGAGCCATTAGCCTCCAGGGGGGTGGGGGCCCCCCCCCCCCAAGAAAAACCTTTCCCCTGCGGGGGGGTTGGGGCCCCCCCCCCCCGGCAGAAGCGTTCTGCTGCTGGGGGGGTCAGCCCCCCCCCCCCTAGCAGCAGCGATGACTTTAGATGTGCAGGGGGGGTACCGAGCAATGTGCGGCCGCTCCAGCCCTTGAGGAGGAGGAAGAGGCTGGCTGGCAGTGCTGTATGCCGCCGAGGGGCAGTTTTGGGGTGCTGACCCACGCCCAGGGGGCTGCAGAACGCGTCCGCAGCCGGGACAACCCGCCCCCCCGGCAGCCGAGGCCGGTCGAAGCCCCCTTGACCACAGCCATGAGGAGTCCTCTTGGTGCTCCTGGCGGCCGTTCAAACCTCGGGCGCGCGCCGATGGGGGGGGGGGGGGGTCTTGCTTGCTCCACACCGAGCGCCACCGGTCCGGCGGACCGGTGCTTGCACCGAGGGCGACGGCTTGCACAAGGTCTGCGTGCCGCGGGCGCTCGGCGCCAAGTGCAGTGTCACGCTCGCGCTGGAGCGGGTCACAATGGGAAACCCTCGTTTCCTATGAACTCGGCCCCCCAACGGAAGAGGCCTCGCTCCTATTGGAACAATCCAACATCAGATTTGCCTCGTGCGTCCCTTTTTGAGCGGGAAAGATTTTCTTTTGGGTCCTGTGGGCACCCTACCTCCCACACCGCCACACCGCAGCGTGGGCACCGGTCTAGGCACCGGTTGGCGGTTGCGCGGGGGCACACTCAAGAGCTCTGCAGAGCCCCGCGATGCCTCCCACCTCCTTCCGCCGAGGCGGCCCGCGTCGCCTCCTCGTCGAGAAAGGTGCTCACAAACGCAGTGTACGGCATCAGGTTCACGACTCCGTGGTGCCAAAAGGGCGGGAAGAAAAGGACCTCGCCGGGTTGTAGCGAGCACTCCTGCAGCGCCGCCAGCCGCCCCTCCCTCTCGAGCCGAGGCCTCTCCTCCCAATGCCAGTGCACCTGCGACAGGTCCTTGATCATCGCGTCGATGTCGCCAATCGCGCCGTCGCCCGGCGGCAGAAAGGCAAAGTGCTTGCTGCCGTGCAGCACCTCCACAAAGGCCGCGCCGTGAGAGTGCCAGGGCGCGCCTACGAGTTCAACACGGCCGGGCGCGTGAGCCGGCCGCGCTGCCTCCTCCCTCCCGCCACTCGCAGGGGCGGCCGCTGTGGAGTCCACCCAGGCCGATGGTGACGGCGACGCGCGTCCGGTCACAGGCTGGACCGCAGGGCGGGAGCACGTACGCGTCCCGCAGAGGCGCCCAGGCGTCGCCAAACTCGCCGAAGACGTACTTGTTCTGAGACGAGTCGCGTCGGACCTCGCGCTGCATCCAGCCGTCGATGTACTCTCGCAGCCGCATCGTCTCGATGCCCTTGCGCTGGCTGCCCGCCTGCGACGGCGTGCAGTTGACATCGCCCATGTCGGCAAGGAGCCGCTCGCGAATCAGCCGCGCCCTCAGCTCCGCGTTTCGATGTCCCAGCCTCACGATGTATGGGTGCTGGGTGTGCAGCGGCAGCGGCCCGGTTGCCGCTCGTCGCGCGATGTTGCATCGTTCGAACGGAGCCGCGGAGCCGCGATCGCGGCGCACAGCGAGCAGGGCGGCGAGGGCAGCCGTGGCGAGCGTTAGCGCGAGGCGCGAGCGGGTGCGCGAGCTTGTGCACAACATGACGCCAAACGGTTTCTTTTTTGGAAAGTTCGAGCATTGACTTACAGATAACCTAACCAGAAAGAAGATCTTCGAGGGCACGACAGGCTCCGTTGTGCAGTGACCAGTGTGTGTGTGTGTGTGTGTGTGTGTGTGTGTGTGTGTGTGTGTGGTGTGTGTGTGTGAGAAAGAACTCCTCATCAGCTGGTCGGCCACCATGTGGGCCTCCCGGCCTGCTGCGGCGGCGCGGCCGGTTGAGGCTGGGCTCGGCCCGGCCCGCGACGGCTGGCCGCCGACGAGCGCGCTCGCGCTGCTCGTCAAAATGGCGGCGGTGTCGATTGCGGCGACGGTCGTTCAGTCGCTCAGCGCTCAGGCGTCTGTCGTCTGTCGTCTGTTGTCGCAGTTCGCACACGCGCGCGCCGCGCGACCCGCGTCGCTCCGCGAGGGCATGAGCCTTCCGCGATTCGATCCCGCAGCCAAAAGCTGCTCGCTCGAACCGCGGCCGACTCTACCATCGCGGCCGCAGCTGTTGAGCTCTCCAGAAGACTGGTGCCTGATATGCTGCCTCCCTGCGGATGCTGCCGGCGAGCCTGGCGGTCCGCTGACTACAAGGAAGTGCTGACTCGATTTCTACTCGAATTTTTCTACCCCCACGACTCGGAACGCGAATGTGACAGGACCATCGGGTCCTTCGGCCACCAAAGCGAGATCACCCGAGAGCAGCTGAGTCTGCCTCTGGCCTCGCCTCCCTCTCCTCCAGGGACCAGGCATTCGTGGCATCCTATGGGTCGTCCAGAGTATCGACCTCTGGCGAGTCAGCCAGCCCCACTTTGAGGGCGCCATGAAGTACAGAGCGATCGCCACCTCGCTGGCCTCTCCGCAAGGCCCCCCGACCGCGTCGAACTCATCGGCGCGGGCTCTCTCGGCTACGGGACCGGCCCCAGCTTCGGCTGAGGGCTGACAAGCTGCCGAGCCCAAATCACTGTTTGCGCGCGCGCGTGTGTGTGTGCCGTGTGGTGTGTGTGTGTGTGTGTGTGTGTGTGTGTGTGTGTGTGTGTGTGTGTGTGTGTGTGTGTATGTGATTTGTGTGTGTGTGTGGGAGGGCGCGCGAGTCGGTCCCGCTGATTGCGCGGGTGACCGGCACACTCGGCGCTGCCGCTGCCGCTGCGGCTGTGTGGCTGGGTCATGTGGGTGCCGCGCGAGGCGGCGCGCGGCGGGGGGTGGGAGATCCGCAGGCGCGGGAGGAGAGAGAGACCGCGGTCCGCGCCTCTGTAAACGCTGCGAGCGGATCTAGTGGCCTGGGAAAAGAAATCGCGCGGGTCGGCCGACTTCTTTCCCTTGCCTAGCCCTGAGACCTCCCCGCGCAAAGGAGTGGTGACCGACCCGCGCACAGCGGGCCGGAAGGCCGACGCGCGCGTTTTCTTTCTACTTTCATCTCGCTGTGTACTGTGAGGAGCTCGGCAGCTCGCCCGCTCACTGATCAGGCCAGCCGCTGCGCGCCTTGTTTCTCTGATCTCGCGTCTCTCAAGATGGGCGTACGGACGCTCAGCGAAGCGCTCCAGCTCTAGCTCCAGCTGAGCGACGAGTACACCACGGGCTCAGCAAAATCTTCGACATGGGCTGTGGTCCCTTTCTTGGCGCCAGTCAGTCTGCTGTGTCCTGTGAGAGAGGATTTTGAAACTCAAGCAGAAATCGCGCCTCAGCACTGACTGAGATCTGAGTGTGTGTGTGAGAGAGGGGGGGGGGGGGTTTGTTTTGGGCCTGTCTGCCTCCAGGTAACATTCAACATCGTTGTCATACCTCGAAGTCCTCTGTCTCTGCCAACAACATACCTAAACCACTGTCGAAGTACCGGGTCCGAGTCCGCAGGGCGCCCAAAGGGGTCCCCGCACACATGAACATGCACTGTTGTACCCCCAACCAACCGCCCGCCGGCGGACACGCGACACACGACACGACACCCCCGACGATCGTAAAGCAGGTGCGACGGAGAGTTTGCATGCTCGTGGGCAGCCCACAGCATGATCCATGGCAGCGGTGAGCCATCAGCATGTCGCGCGCGCTGCGGCTCCTGCCGTGACGCAGCCACGCTGCCGCCACGCACCCGTTCCAAGGAGCTCAGTCGCGAAAGTCCCCGCTTCTACCTGCACGAATCTGGTGGCCTAAACTTTAGCGACATCATCGATGAGATGCGTGATGTTCTTTCGGGCCAGCCGCCCGACCTTGCATGGCCAGTTGGGCAAGCGCAGCATCTCGTCGATGTCCCTCTCCTGCAGGCGCTTTCGCGTCACCCGCTCCGATCCCACGACCCGGAGAGCGCACCGTTCCACATTCTCTCTCTTCCAGCTCTGGCTTCGAGGCTTCTGGCGGAGCGTCGCGGCCATCCGGCGGCGCACTGGCAGCGCATGACGGCCGCAGCGCAGACGCTCGCTGCCGATCGCCACTTTCTCAATCGCCGCGCAATCTTTGTGATCGTCTTTGCTGGCATTGAGCTCAATACGCTCGGTGAGCCCTTCCAGCGCGTAATCGCCAGCGGGAATGTGCGAATGGGCTGCAACGACCCGACGATGGCCTACCTTGGACCTAACGCCCGCTCACCTGCCCGCCGGCTGATGGCCGAGGCGATCACGCTGCCTTATTACGCCCACGCGTTTGCGACAAGCACGGGAGCAAGTGCTCCGCGTACGGGAGTCATGTTCCACGGCGGTCTCGGGCGCTGGGATTTTGGCAACCGTGCCCGTATGAAGCGCATATTTGTGCGCATCGAGAGCACGCAGTCCAGTGTGAGCGTGGACCTGCGCATCGCAGAGGTGTCGCGTGGCAACCAGTCCGCCCTGCGTGGCACCTTCGACGTCGAGGCCTACCGGCGCTCTGGCCTCGCGTATCAGGCCTCGTCAATCTGCCTGGTGCCGGCCGGTGACACAATAACGAGCCGTCGGCTTTTCGACGCCCTCGCCGCGAGCTGCATCCCGGTTTTGCTCCGCAGCGGGTATCTGATGAACCAGAGAAACCAAACCTTCTACACGGCGCTGCCCTTCCCCAGCAGCGTGGACTGGGCAAACATCTCGCTCCGCCTCGTACCGGGAGCTTCCAGCTCTTGCGTCGCCGCCGATGCGACGTGGCTCCTGGCATGGCACGCCCGCTCGCTAGGCGCGATGCGGAGGCGGGGGCACTCTGCGTTCCGTCGGCACATGGACTATGCGAGCAACCCGTCGGGGGTAGCGTCGGCGCTGCTGGCCGAATTGGCGGCAAGCGGCGCCGAAACGCATCATCATTACCAAGGTCCAGCACGTCCACGCGGCTAGGCAATTAGCAGCTAGCAGGGAGAGGGCGTCCGATCCGCTCATCCGCCTGCGCGCTGCGGCCCGACACGCGACAGCGAGAGACACACACGCTGGACAAAAAGTATCCGCGACAAAGTCTCGCCGTGCTTCTCTCGTATTTGCGTCTTTTTGTTTTAATATTGTGCGCGTCAGTGTTGCTTTCGTGTTGAGATTCACTATCACACACACACAAGAATCTTCCGACCGAGGCAGGCCGCAACATCCGTGTCTCATTGAGAACGAATCTCGCCAGCGGCAAGCGCGGCAGCGCCCTGCACGACTGTCGGCACTGTCGCCCCGCTCCTCTCTCAACACGCTGAACAAACGCAATTAACTCCGTGTCACAGACCGGGCGAGTTCCACGGCGACTCTGCGTGCAGCGTCAGCTGGCCCGGCCCCGAGATGACTCCGGCGGACCAGAAGCCGCTGAAGGTGTCGCCGTTTGCAAAGTAGAGCGTGCCCTTGCCCTCCTACACTCTCGCGAGCGGAGGGCCGGTGAGGGGAGGGCGGCCAAGGCGCGGCGCCTGCGGTTTGCGGCATCGGCCTTGCGGCCCGCCGACCACTCTCCCTCGTAGCGCGACCCGTCTGCGTGGCTGAAGGTGCCTGCGGGAAGGAGCCGGGAGAGGTGCCGCGAGAGGTCTATGCAAGAGGCGCGGCCTGCCCGCGCAGGCAGGCGGCGCGCCGTGGCCGTGCCGCTTGTCGTCAAGCCACGCGCCTACTCGCGCAGGGGGGGGGGGGGAGGGGGGTGGGAAGAGGGCGGGGCGGTGGGTCGCCCTCGTCGCCCGTCCTGGCGCCCTCGTATCGGTTGTTGTTCGCATAGAGCAACACCCCGAAGCCACTCGCCCGGTCGGACGCCCACTCGCCTCGGAACCTGAGGCCGCGCCGCGCGGGAGGCGCATCCGTCGGAGGCGGCTAGGCTCGCCTCGGGGGGCGGGGGGGGCAGGCAGGAGAGGAGGTGCGAAGTCGCGGCGCACATGTCGCCGTTGGCATAGTACAGCTCGCCCTGTCCCGCCTTCTTGCCGGCGGACCAGTCGCCCACATACCTGCGGGAGGCGGCGGCGGTGATGGGCGCGTGTCGCGTGGCCGTGTCTCTCCTTGGGCGGCGGCGACCAAGCAGGGCCCAACCCGGCTGGCGGAGGCGGTTGGCGCGCTCTCGTCTCCCTGCAGCTGTGTGAGCCAGCCTCTAGTCTCGTGTTGCAAGAGATCTCGCAGGCGCACTTGTCGCCCTGCAGGTATGTGAGCGTGCCCTTCCCGTGCGCCTTGTCCTCGGCCCAATACCTGGAGGCAGGGCCCGGGTCGGGCGGCCGGTGTGCCCACCCGCCACCGGGCAGGGCGGGGAGGCGGGGCGGGCGGGGCGGGGCGAGGAGGCGGGGCGGGGCGGCGGGGCGGGGCGGCCGTGAGGCGGCGGGTGCGGGGCAACGCGCAGGGGGGGGGGGGGGGGGTTGGGGTTGGGGTTGGGC